TTTGTCACTTCTTTAACATATCTGTGGAGAGGCGAGCCCGCTCAGTAATGCACATTTTTCAAGGTATTTTTGAGTAATACTTACAACTGTAATTAAATAAATGCTCCAAATTTGAATCTAATCCAGGTGCCGCCAAGAGATTTGACGTAATTATGATGGTGCTCAATGACGTATTTATGTGGGTTGATGTGAACGAAAACTTTTTTTGAAAACGGTGCTGTGTGCATGATGTTATTTTGGAAAATGGAGGGAGAGAAATATTAGTTTCTCAACATGCCCAGCGATCTGTACACGTAGCCTCATTCACACAGGTTTGAGTAATCCTGGATTATTAGTTTGTCTACATCTCCAAAGCTCAGAATGCTCTGTTCCACCTTTTGATGTCATGTAGTGATCATTTTCAAGTTAACAGCTCCTTCTATCTTTTGTTCACCAGAGATGAGCAATTCTACTGCTGAAATTATCAACATGGTCATAGTGAAGGTGTATAGAGTTTAAAACACAGTGGAGCACTTCCTGTATTACCACATGACATCACAAGGTAGAACAGAGTGTTTTCTGATTGGGAGCTTGAGTTAAATGTAAATATGCAGGGTTTTGTGTTAAACACCTGTGAATGAAACAAAACACAACTCCAGGTATACCTTTAATTATTGAATGTAATAAGACGATTTACAGGCTGATTTTAGCTTAAAACGTGTCAAGTTGTTTGAACTTGTATTCATACGAAGCTGTTTAAAAGTTATTTGAAGGATAAATAACTGTTTCATGGCACAGTTGGAACTCTTGTATATTAAGTTAACAACATTTTAAGAAAATAAGTACCATTTTCTGTCCCTGCACTGGTATCACTTAATATCTGATATTATCAGTTCATAGTATTATATATATATACTTAGATTGTTTTATTTACAATTTGTTTTGATACCGTGTTTTAAATCCACAATGTAAAAAAGGCAGATTTTAGGCAGAATTTTCTTTACGTAATCTCATAGCTGTATGGCTGTAAACAAAGGATTTGCCATTTACCTGAATTTATTGTAAAGGTAATTATTACAATCGCACAAAAATGTTAGGTGTTTTTTATTTTTCTTTACAATTTGCAGCAACACATCTACTTTATAAACTATTTGAAATACACTTTTAGTCTTATTTCTAACCAGATTCTGTGAGACCTGCTAATTTTGCTTCTTTTTAGTGTTTACTGAATTGCTTGATATTAATAGATGACATTTTCTGCAGCGAGAACAGAATCCACCCACAATCTGAAGGCTTATGGCTGCATTTCTATTAGAACTTTCCAAACTTTCTTTTGACGAATTCACAGTTCAAAATATTCATGCATTCATCCATCTCTTATAAACTTGTGTACTTTCACAATCCACTTAAAGTGCAGACATTACTTTTTTAATGGGATAGTACTTAAATAAATATGTATAATATTTTTACGTCAGTATTGATACTTTGCAGCTGATGTCATCAGCATTCTCTCGTGTGTGATTCTAACTGTAGGCACTGCCCTGTCTGAAGCTCTGTTGCTCAAGTTAGACTTTAATCTGAGCTTTGATGTCTTAAAACTTTTTTGCTGCGTTTGCTAATGTGCACATTGTGTCTCCACAGAAACTTCTGACCATGCCGCCATTGCAAAGTATCAATAGTGGCAGGTTGTGGGGGGAAAAAAAGTGAACAACAAAACCAAAACAAAATAGCATATGAGGCTGCGTTTCTCTATCAAACAGGAAACACTCTGTTCCACCTTGTGATGTCATGTGATGCAGGAAGTGCTCCACTGTGTTTTTAAACTCCACACACCTTCACTAGAATCATTTGGATGATTTCTGCCCTGGAATTCACAATCTCTACTGAACTAAAGGCAAAAGGAGCTGTTAACTTGAAAACTACTGCTTCATGACATCACAAGGTGGAACAGAGCATTTTGAGCTTTGGAAATGTAAACGGTAGGGATGGGCATGGTTAGTCGACTAATTGATAACTGATCATTAAGAATTCACTTTCAAATTTAAATGACAAACCGAATGTTGATAGCTGTGCATAGTGTAAGGAGATGAGGCTGCATCTGACACAAACACTGGAGTTGCACCTCACAGTCCCACGTTTGGGCTCTGGCTCCTTGGAGACACTGTATCACTCAGTGAGTGTGTTTATCATACACATCAGTGTCCCGGGTATGATCGGGTTTTTTGAGTATCCCGGTTTCGTCATGGTGGATGTAAACACAGAATCCTGGTTACTGCAACATAAAGCTGAGTGCGCATGCATCCAAAAGACAAACACTTTTCAGTGTTTTCATCATAGCAGTAGCCAAAATAAAGTGATCAACATAAATAAAGTGAGTGAAATGACTGTTAAATAAAGACCTGCTGCGCTAAACCTGCACATGTATGATCTCTAAAAACATGACCCATCTCCAACGTAACACACACACAGAACACACTCCCCATCATCATCATCATCCCTCTGTCACAGAGAGAACACACATATTCCACTGAGCCGTGTCCTTTAGTCCAACAGAAGCTGAACCGCATCAGTGCACAAGGAGCGAGCTGTTTTTTCAGCGCTTATAGTTTATGCAAATGAGCCATGTGGTTTTAAGTTTTGTTTCTGTAAAACATAAACAAATGTGTCAAAGCTGCATTAAACACATTATAATGTCAAACGGGCTGATGTGGCTCTATAGTGGTTATGGTTTTAGATATTGTAAAGTTTAATTTAATCGAATGCCCATCCCTAGTAGACAGACTAATTATAAAGGGTTACTCAAACATGTATGATGTATGAGGTAACAGCATTAGAACATGAGCATTAATATAATATAAGACCTGTATAGTCTAACCTGTCATTTGCACTTAAACATCTAAAATACCAATAACCAAAGACAAATTTTTCAATATAGATTAATTAGGATATATTTCAGTGTATGTATTGTCTCTTAATCTCACTTTGCATTCTAATGAGCCCAGACTAATTGAAGCTCTTGTTTTAAATGAAAATCGTCCCATGCTGAGTCCCCCCGCTGCACCGCCCCATCAAATCTCTTATTATTAATTCACAAGTGTTTGATGGCATTAATAATACATGCAGATGACTTTTATGAGCATTGAGTTGTCTGCACTTCGGTCTGGGCCTATTTTATTACTGTGTACTTTTCTCTGCATACAGCGGGCTCCTACTGTGCTTTTAAAGTGTGCTTATGTAAACCTGCTCTCTCTTTCAGACTCTCACTCCCCCACACTGTCCTCCCAGCCTGCAATGGTTTTAAATGGATCCTCTTAAGCACCAATGCCTGTGGTCTATAATTCAAAATCTTTAGTTTTGATTATGCGCCGTTCCTTGATGTTGATTTTATCCTCCTACGTGTTTTGTTAAAGGCGCTATGCCACATTTTTACTGTCTTAAAAATGTGAAAAACAGAACTACGCTGCAAAAAGCAATATTTAGTGAAGTGAAAGGTGAACTTTTTGTGTGTAACTTCAGCTTCTCTGCTTAGAATGTTCCTCAGTATGATATTAAATAGCTCTACCTAACATTTACTCTATTACAGGTGTTTATATAGCTCAAAAATACCTTAAAAAAAAAAAAGCTTCTGACTGTGAGTGGGGTTGCATCTCCGCAGAGCTGACCTGTAACTTAGTCTGGTTTGATGTCCATGAAGATAGAAAGGTTTAAAACCGTATTATGAAACATTTCATATGAAGTGATAACATCTCCACAGAAAAAAACATTTCATGGTCCCTCCACCAGAAAAGTTACACAATGCACCTTTTAAAATGACTTAAATTAAGAACATTTTTTGAGTTGATTCAACTTGTAAAGTAAAATTATCTACCAATGGAATAAGTGTTTTTCTTAATTTAATCAACTGTAGGTTTTGTTTCTCATTTTAAGCATAAAGAGTTGTTGTTTTTGTGATCTTAAGTGTAGCAAGGTGTATTTTCATGTTTTAAGTACAAAAAGTCTTACTCCAGTGAGGTTCATTTGGTCTTCCTGGAGTTTGTTTTCATACCTGACAGTTTCGACTGCTCACTAGCGATCTTCCTCAGAGTGGTCACGTGATGTTGGTGTGACATGTTTGGTCAGCTGATTTAAACAGGTTTTGGCTCTGTCTTCCTACCGGAGGCTGCAGTCTGACTTCCTCAGGACAATATCCCAGGTGTGTGAGAGTAAAAACAGGCCCCTCATCTTCAGCAACATCACATGACCACAATGAGAAAAACAAACTCTTGGTCTGAAAAAATAACCTAATAACATACAAAAAGGCTTGTTCCATTGGCTGGTAATTTTACTTGCCAAGTGAAATTTACTCACATCATGATAAAAACGTTCTTAATTCAAGTTATCTTAACTTGGTTAGATTTTAGTTTTTGTAGTGTTGTTCATTTCAAATGGTTTGCAGTGGTCCAACCCTACAAAAACAACCATTCTGACTGTGAGCGGGGTTGCATCTCCACAGAGCTGACCTATAACTTGGTCCGGATTGGTCTCCACGAAAATAGAAAGGTTTAATGCCATACTGTGAAACATTCCAGACAAAGCGAAAACATCTCCACGGAAAAAAGCATTTGATGGACCCGATGGACCAGAAAAGTTACACAATGCATTGTAGCTGGATTGTACTTTGTCTTAAAGTTCTTCCTCACTTACTTTTTGTTTTCAGAGCATCTGAATTACTCACCTTGTTGAATTTGTAAGCGCTTTTCACAACTGTCAGATTTTAGTTTTACTGTGACAGTAACCGATAATGGCAACTAGCATGCTAACACACTTCCTGATTATCAGACTACAGAAAGCTTTATTTATTATTAGATGCTGACAGAACACAGCAGACTTAATGCACTTTTCTATTTGTTTTTTTAATACTAAATCCGTCTGTATCCTGGAGCGAGACTGAATTGGAGAGTCTGACAAAACCTTTAAAATCTTGTCTTGTTTTAAATCCTGGTTTCACAGTTCTTGTTGTTTTTCTGTCTTTTTTTCCGCAGAATTGCCAGTGGTTTCGGCGGGGCCTTGTTCGTCTACCTCAACCGTCTGATTGTCCAGTTCATGAGGAACCAAAAGACTATCAACAAATTCCTCATGAAAAAGTGAGTTACCATGGCGATAACTATAATCCCACCAGTGCAAAGATGCTGCTGTACTTACATTACAGTGCTTTAGACTTGCTCACAGCTATTGTTTATATAGACTTGCCTAATTGACCTATTTAAGTATAATGAATGAATAATGCATAGAAGTGGCTGAAGGCTTTTAGTACACATTAATGTGGAAGTGTCAGAGCTCAGTTATAGTTCATTAGACTGTAACTTATCATGTCAGTGTGTAAGACAGGATTTGGAAACCATTATCTCTTCATAATTAAAACATAATAAAAACATAAATAAGACATAACTCCTCACTGCTCAGAGCTTGACAAAGCAAATTTGGAAATCTAAATATTAATTACTGCTTTTGATTCATCCGATGTTGGCTACGAACTCACAAAAATGATTGCAAAAACAGACGTTACAAAAAAGATTGTTGTAAACTTACAACAGGCTCTATTCACGCTTACTGAAAGACGTTTGGAAATATGCGGATGACGACTTCCGGTGTCATGACCAACACTGGGCATGTGATAAAAAACACGGATTCAGCAGCAGCGTCTTCACAACCTGCCCAAGTTTTCCAAGAGGGACTCTAATCGCGTCTTCGATATCACTTACATGAAGCTGGTTGTAACTGTTGATCTGCTGAACATAATGGAACTCTACAATGCATTTAAAAATGTATTTTCTTAATGAAGTTAGACAAATTATAATACACAAATGAATAGGCAATATATAAAAGCAAAAAAAAGTTAATATTGCCAACAGAGCCCAAAGGAAGTCGCCAACCGCATGTTTCCAAACATCGTTCCAGTTTTGTGACGTAAGCATGAATAGAGCTATAAAGGTCACCAACCTTTGTGAAACTGAGAGCTACTTCATGGATACTGAGTCATACGAAGGGCTCCCAGTTTGATACACTCTTCTGAAATAACAAATTTGCTCAGTTTTCCCTTAGTTATACATTATTAATAATGATTAATTATAATTATTAATTATCTGTGTGAAGACACTGATCACATTAATGATTTCTCACAATAATTATCAACAATGACAGCAAGCTGGGAAAAAGATATCAATATTCAGCACTTTCACTTTACTAATTTCAGTAAATGTAAAAAAAATAATAAGTACTGTGTTAGCAGTTATCATCATTGCTTCTCTGAGTGTGTTTACATACACATCAGTATCCCACTTATAAATGCACTATCCCAGTTTCTTGACATAACTTTACAAATGCACAAGCTCAAAAGTTCTTTAGCATAGGAAGCTCGAGAGTTTCCTACCTGGATGTTTCAAACACTCCACTACACAGATCCATGTTTTCAAACACTACTGTACAAGTTCTACACTGCAGCAGATTACCCATTAAAATCTTCTGTGTAAATAAACTCAACTTTACAACATATAAACCATAACCACTGTAGAGCCACATCAGCCCCTTTGAGATTATAACACTTTTTATGCAGCTTTGCCACATTTGTTTACATTTTAAAGAAACAAAACTTAAAACCACATGGCACATTTGCATAAACTGTAAAAAAACCCAAAAAACAAAAAAACTGCTCTCATCTAAATGGCTTATCTAAACTTCATGTATAATGAACACATTTTTAAGATATTGTCATTTTTATATCTATATAAATGCAAGAGTGATTAAAAAATAATAGCAACTGAATACAATACAATTTTAGATGCAGCTCACTAATGAGTGGTGCTATTTTTAGAACGTGCCTGCGGGTGATTCATGTAGTCCTTAGGCGCGACCTGGTGCCCGCAGGCACCGTGTTGGTGACCCTGCTATAAAGTGATCTGTCTTCTTCACTTGTTTGTAATTTTCACACATTTCTGTTGGATTGCTATAAGATCCTTATATCAGCTGTTTCCTGATATCAAGAAATTGCAAAAAAACAAAAACAAAACACAAACACAAACAAAAAAAAAAAAATCCATATTGATTTTTGTCTATATTACCCACCACCAATTCATAAGTGTAAGGATTTATACTGCTTGTATAAAATGACCTAAAATATGTACTCATAAAATATTAGATGGTAGAATACAGTATTAATATCTATTTGTACATTTTTTTCTTGCTAACCCTCTTACCTCCTCTCTCATCAGACGTTTGTTATACCCTGCACTGGTCACTTTACTCATCTCCACCCTGACGTTCCCTCCAGGCTTTGGACAATTCATGGCCGGCAAGGTGAGCTCTCGACAGCACCCATAAAATCACAGCACATGACGGATTGGCTTCACATCACAACATTCTCAAATCCCTATAGTTTAAAACTGAGCAGAATTCAATGGTAGAATTTAATGTTCAAGTATCATGAGACAATTCCTTTTACTTTTTTGTGGAGGAGATAGGCAAGTCCAGGGCTGAAATTATCCAAATGATTCTAGTGAAGATGTATGAAGTTTAAAAACATAGTGGAGCACTTCCTGTATTATCACATGACATCACAAGGTGCAACAGTGTTTTCAGTTTGAGAGAAGCACTCAGCCTAAATATGGAGGGTTTGTGTTAAACATGTGTGAATGAAACAAAACACAACTTTTAGATTAAGAAACAACATGATAACTGTAGAGAGATGGAGTAGAGACCCGACAGGGAACAGGAGGGACAACGCCCAAGAAGTTCTCCCTCCGTTCAAAGCTGTGCTTGTCGCTTGACGTGTTTTTATTCAAATACCTGTAGCTGATCTGATTTGAAAGCAAAGCTTTCCTATTTTTTCAAATTTAAGTATTTGCATTTTTGCAGACAATAGTCTTATTGATTGATTAGCCTTGATCTGTTCAGACCTCGTGGACACTGAAACATGTCCTCCAATCCTCTGTAACAGAGGCGTCCCTCAGCCCGACGGCGCCTGAGCCTGGAACTCTAGTTTAGATCACGTGGCCTTCGTCCATTTCATTATGTTTGATTCTTCAGAACCGACGTCCTGAGAAACTCGAACCTTCATTGGACCTGTGAGGACCACGTGGTGACTGGACATGTCCACACTCCCCAGATTGTATGCACATTGTCACAGAATGGCTTACTTTATTAATTTAGACTCAACACAGAACTTTAGATAAACCTTAAAGTTGTCCCAAATCTCAGATCTCTAGACACCAGTTTAGAGCAACCTACACTCATTTGCATATTTGATCATGAAATATTCATAAACCACAGTTTGCTTTGGCGAATAGTGAATAGTTTGACCAAATAAACTTTTGTCCAGTTGACAAATTGAATTTCTCCTTTTGCCATGGATTCTACCTGGGGAACTGAAGGATTTTACACATGTCTTTATATTTGGCACATTCACACTGCAAATTTCTCTGATCTGGCCAAGATTTTAAAACTTTTATTGGCGTATTCATCTTGTTTTCAGATTTATTATCTTACTAGATCTGAGACTGCTTAATTCTAGTCTAGAGGTAATTTATTTTAAGATAACTTGTCAAGTAAAATTGTCTTGCTTCATGGACACATCATTTCAATACTTTTAAGTCATTTTCTGATAGATTTTTGGCCAAGCTTATTCGCAGTGCATGAAATGGTTGCGCCTCACTCAAGCTCTGGAAAGTTGCATATCTTTAAGCAGATGTAGCTGAAGTACTCCATCCACACAGGGACGTAGCTCGCATATCCACACAGAGAACGCTTGAAACTCTGTCCCAGTTTTTATTTCGTCCATAAATAAAAACTCCATCCATAACATAGTTTAAAGTCAGAAAGAAGAGAGAGAAGAGCTCCTCCTGTCTGTGTGTCTGTAGAACTCATTGTATTACAACAAAAATCTGCTAAAAAAGTTTACAAAATAAATTTTAGCTGCCTCCTAACTGTATTAAACTTGAACTTTTATTGATCCACAAGCTTGCACATCACAATATATTATAATCACAAAGAGCAACAATATAAATGGTCATACAAAAAGCAAAAATTATAATAGACTGATGTCCAATAAGGCATAATTTCAAAGCATATATCAGGGGTGTCAAACTCATTTTGGTCCGGGGGCCATATCCAACCTACTTTGATCACAAAGGAGCCGGATCAGAAAACTCATGGCATATAAACCCCAAAAATAACAATAAGTTCAAATATTTGTGCAGAGAAATGCAAAATTTTTAATTGATGAACTCCTTTCTTTTACAAAATATTATAATATTATGAACAACCTGAAACTTTAAGAAAAATGCAATTTCAACACAATATTTAACATTAACTTGTATGCAAATAGAAATAAGTCAATTTTTCTTGGAAAATCCTGCACTCGGCTCCACTTTTCTCATTTTTGACATTTGCTGATGAGGGTGTCACGGTCAACAGTTAAAACGATCGTCCTTTAAGAGCGTTTGGAAAGAGACAAGTCTTCATTTGTGCTGCTCTGGTGGGAGGTGCTGGAGACGCTGCTGTGCTAAGTGCTGCAGAAAATTACCAAGATTTTATTGGAAAATATAATTAAAACATTTTAGTAGAAAATCAGCTGAGGGCCAGATTAAAGGTCTTGGAGGGCCGAATCTGGCCCCCGGGCCATATGTTTGACACCCAAATACAAATAAAAATAAAATATAGTAATACAGATATATTTCGGCTATTTACAAGAGGTCCTATGGTATAAATGTAAACAGTATTGTTCATTAGAATGTTGTGATGTCATCTGAAACAATAACAATACACACCATATCCTAATGAAGCCCTGTTAATTCTAATTCCCCCAGCGCTGGTTTTAAAAGCATTTCCCCGTGGGCGCTGTGGAGTGAGCTGTTGGCTGTTGCTTCAGGGATGAGTCATATCTGTCTCCAATTATAGGCCCTTCATCTGGTCTAATTATCAGAATTAAAAGTGGAACAGTGTCCTCAGACCCAGTGAAAATACTTACTTGGGCTTGTTTCCTAATAAAGGGTTGAGTCAGGCCAGTCTGAAAAGGTCACATCCGCAGGCTTTGGATCTCAATGGCTTCTAAATGTATTTACCCTGCCTCCAGAAAGTGGTTGTGTAATTGAAATGAAAATATAATAATTAAATCAGGGAGTGAGTTGATCTCGAGTGGAATTGATAAGTGGAAATGTCTTTACAATAAAGTATACCTTACCCTAAATTGAACTTGGAACTTGCCCCAATGTCACTTTTATTACATGAAGACATTTTGCTTTGCTTATCTCCTCAAAAACAGACCTGGAGTTGTGTTTTGTTTCATTCACACATGTTTGAGTAACACTTTTATTATTAATCTGTCTACATCTCCGAAGCTCAAAATGCTCTGTTCCAAATTGTAATGTCATGAAGTTTATAGCAAATTTTACCTTTTAGATCAGTAGAAATAGGCAATTCCAGGGCTGAAATCATCTAAATGATTCTAGTGAAGGTGTATTGAGTTTAAAAACACAGTGGAGCTCTACCTGTTTTACCACATGGAACAGAGTGGAACACTACTGAAACTTAAAACACATAGTGAAGTTCTTGTAGAGGTGCAAATGCAAAGAGCAGCAATTTAAAAGTGAGAAAATGCATTGCACACACAGATGGTTGATGTACAATGTTTTTTTTGTTTTTTTTTTTTTTTAAATAACGTTTCATCATAGAAGCCCTCATCAGATAAATTTTCTTGCTTTGGACCACAACAGAGAGAAAGAAAACAGCCTAAATTTGCAGGGTTTGTGTGATAAAGATGTGTGAAACAAAATACAACTCCAGGTTGTTGATAAGGAAATAACATTAGGATAGATCAGGGGAGATTCTGTGCCGGCGAAAGTGAGGACCGGGGCACGACGACCGTAGTTTGGCGAGGATTCAAGTGGTTCAGAGGGACGTACTCAAGGCGGGGAGCAATTGTTGTCAAGGCGGGTGCCCTAACTATAAAGCGCTGCGGGAAACACTGCCACCCCAATCGCAGACAAGTTGCCTCATGAATATTAAAGAGCTGAGCCTTCCGTGTAGCTGCACACGTAGAGGCGGAATGTAAACACTCACTAATTGTGTGATCTCACTCATGACCAGCGCTGCACCGAACTGAATGTCCCGTATCGAAATGGTTCGGCACAAATACATGTACCATTACACCCCTAGTAAATAGCATAATGTGGGCCCTTTAAAAGTGAAAAGATTTTAATTATTTTTAAGAACATGTGTTCATGGAGATAGATGGGTTCATGCCATATTCTGTAATATGCTAGAAAAAGCAATAACATCTCCATAAAGACAGAAAAGTTACTCAGAGAACCTTTAAATAAAAATACAAGTACACAATCACCTGTAAGAGCTATGGGTCACTTGGTTGTGAAACAGTACTCTAAAGCTCAGAACATTTCTTAAATCGATCTTTCTTAAATCTTTTTCTTGCTTCAGTTCAGTCACCATTTTTGTGTGCGTCTGTTCTTGGAGATGGTTTGAGACGCCCCTGGACTCTAACAATCACCTCTCCATCTTCAGCCCGCACTCGCAAACATGTCAATAGATTTCTGAACATCTTTTCTGATTCGCACTGCTGTAGGTTTGCTGTATTTTCCACATAAGAAGTATTTTTGTATCTGTAAAGGCCACGTAGATGTATTTTTCATGTGTTTTGGGGTGAAGAAGAGGGTGCATATTAGATAATCCTGTATCAGCTGAGTGAGGATAATGAAAAATGTATAAAACGAGCAGCAAGTCGAGTGTCAAAAATGATCTTCTGTCTAATTTAGAGCCAACGCAGTACATCATCTGCCTACAATGTGCTAATTTATGTCAGATGCCCTCCCTTGTGGAACTGGGGATGTCACAATAGTTTATTTCATTCACATTTTCTAATAGATCACCATTTCTCTAGTATTTGACCAGCTTGAAATCAAACTTCAGAAATGTTGAAATTAAAAGGCCAATATTTTATTATTTTCTGATTTATGTTATAATGTTGTTTTCATAATGTTTCCTCATCACAAACAAACCTGGAGTTGTTTTTTGGTCTTAAACGATTTTTAAAAGTGACAAAACGCACACCCCACAGACAAAAGTAGAATCTTATGAGACTTAAAATCTCTGATTGCAAAGACTTCTGTGGGATATTACTTCGGATCACAAGCTATAAAGTTGGGAGTGCGATAGCGTCAGCTGTTTCCTGTCTACAGTAAAATGACTCGCTTTGAGACTCTTAAGTGTTCAAAAGATCAGAGCACTGCACTTTTTGTTTTGATACAAGTCAAAAGTGTTATTATTATTTGTGGAATGTGGTGCAGTTCTTCAGATATGCGATTTTTAAAGCATAAAAGATTGGAGATAAAGTCCAGAGGAAGTTGAGTCACTATCGCGAACCTGCAGCTTCACCTTGATCCATGAGCCGTGTGGATGTAAACAGACACACGGGAGGAACTACTCTTGCCTTTTTACTTTCAAAGAACGCCTCAAACTGGATTAATAGTGATGTTTTGTGGACTGGGTGTCATTATTTGCATAGGACAAATTCTACAGATAATGTGGATGAGATTCTGCGCTTTAAATTTACCATTTAACTCTTCTAATTATTTTCGCTATATCCCGATTTTTTATGTTGTGTCTCTGTGTCCGTCACTCCTCTGCTCCTGACCCTCTGTTTTATCGGCTGTTACTGTAGCGTTGCTGATGTTTGGTGGTTACGATCTGACAGAGCAGCTCAGAGTCACACTGACACCACACACTAGGATCACAGCGGCTTCAAAATGCAAATTCACAAACGCCTCCCCGAACTCAAGGAGAACCACAGAATCACAGCTTAAATCGGGCAAATTTTCCTGTAGTGTGTGGCAGCCTTTAGTCTCAGTTCTTCTCTCAAACAGAAAATACTCTGGTCTACGTTGTGATATCATGCGGTAATACAGAAAGTGCTCCACTGTGTTTTTAAACTTCATACAGCTTCACTAGAATCATTTGGATGATTTCAGCCCTGGAATTGCCAGTCTCTTCTAAACAAAAGGCAAAAGGTAGCTGTTAACTTGAAAAACTATTGCTTTACGTTTACGATTACATTTAACTGACAAAATTTAGTTCAGGAAATTATCACAATTAGTTATTATTATTATCACTATTAGTAGTAGTAGTGGTAGTAATGGTAGTAGCAGTAGTAGCAGTAGCAGCAGTAGCAGTAGTAGCAGCAGTTGTAGTAGCAGCAGTAGTAGTAACAGTAGTAGCAGCAGTTGTAGTAGCAGCAGTAGTAGTAGCAGTAGTAGTAGCAATAGTAGTAGTAGCAGTAGCAGCAGTAGTAGTACTAGCAGTAGCAGTAGTAGTATTAGCAGCAGTAGTAGTAGGAGCAGCAGTAGCAGTAGTAGTAGTAGTAGCAGCAGTAGCAGTAGTAGCAGCAGTAGCAGCAGTAGCAGTAGTAGCAGTAGTAGCAGTAGTAGCAGCAGTAGCAGCAGTAGCAGTAGTAGCTGCAGTAGCAGTAGCAGTAGTAGTAGCAGTAGTAGTAGCAGTAACAGCAGTAGTAGCAGTAGTAGTTGCAGTAGTAGTAGCAGTAGTAGCAGCAGTAGTAGCAGTAGTAGTAGTAGCAGTAACAGCAGTAGTAGCAGTAGTAGCAGTAGTAGTAGCAGTAGTAGCAGCAGTAGTAGCAGTAGTAGTAGTAGCAGTAACAGCAGTAGTAGCAGTAGTAGTTGTAGCAGTAGTAGCAGCAGTAGTAGCAGTAGTAGTTGCAGTAGTAGTAGCAGTAGTAGCAGCAGTAGTAGCAGTAGTAGTAGTAGCAGTAACAGCAGTAGTAGCAGTAGTAGCAGTAGTAGTAGCAGTAGTAGCAGTAGTAGCAGTAGTAGTAGTAGCAGTAACAGCAGTAGTAGCAGTAGTAGTTGTAGCAGTAGCAGCAGTAGTAGCAGTAGTAGTAGCAGTAGTAGTAGCAGTAGTAGCAGCAGTAGTAGCAGTAGTAGCAGTAGTAGCAGTAGCAGCAGTAGTAGCAGTAGTAGTAGTAGCAGTAGTAGCAGTAGTAGTAGCAGTAGTAGCAGCAGTAGTAGCAGCAGTAGTAGCAGCAGTAGTAGCAGTAGTAGCAGTAGTAGTAGCAGCAGTAGTAGCATTAGTAGCAGTAGTAGTAGCATTAGTAGCAGTAGCAGCAGTAGTAGCAGTAGTAGTAGCAGTAGTAGCAGTAGTAGTAGCAGCAGTAGTAGCATTAGTAGCAGTAGTAGTAGTAGCAGTAGTAGCAGTAGTAGTAGCATTAGTAGCAGTAGTAGTAGCATTAGTAGCAGCAGTAGTAGCATTAGTAGCAGCAGTAGTAGCATTAGTAGCAGTAGTAGTAGCAGTAGCAGCAGTAGTAGCATTAGTAGCAGTAGTAGTAGCAGTAGTAGTAGCATTAGTATTAGTATCAGTAATGAGTTATTTAATTATGGTCAAGCACAATTTGTGATTAACTGAAGAATCTTCACCTTCATAGCTGGTGACTGTCCTAAAAAGACTTGCTATAAATTACTATAGTTTTCCTTTATTTTTTTTATCTTTTTAATCTGCTCATTCATTACTCTTGGCTCACTAGAGACCAGCTATCTTGTCCAAATTAGAGTTGATGTTTTGACACTGACAGCGCTTTTAAAATCCTTCAGTATTAGTATTAGTTTTATTTGACAGATGAAAAGGGCTCATACCGCCTCATGTTTCATCTTTATACTGAGGATGTCTACTTCCAACTGACTCCAATTAAAACAACCTATAAAACACTTTAATGATGATTTTGGTCTGTTCAGATTTAAGAAGACTAATGCTTCATCCATCTTGTGCATGAATGCTTATTGCCGCCTTCTAATAACTGCTAGTGAGCCACACCTCCCACAATGTTGTTTATACGGATTAGTAAAGGTCCTGTATTATACAAAATTGACTCTTGTGAGCTTTAAGCCATGTTAGAATGCTGTTACCTTATCAAAAACATACCCAGAGTTGGAATGTTTACATCTCCAAAGCTCAAAATGTCTGTTCCACCTTGTGATGTTATAAAGCTGTAGTTTTCAAGTTAACAGCTACCTCTTACATTTTGTTTTGTTCAGTAGAGATTTGCAATTCCAGATCTGATTCTAGTGAAGCTTTTTAGAGTTTAAACACAGTGGAGCACTTCCTGTATTATCACATGACAACATAAGGTGGACCAGCTTTTTTCCCATTTGAGAGACTCTAAATATGCAGAATTTGTGTGTTAAGTCCTGGTGTTTTGTCATTATTTTTGTATTTAGGTAAGACATGAACAAGGTTCCATCTTACACTTTTTTCTGATGTCTCTTTTAATGTTGTTCCCTCATCACAAACAGACCTGGAGTTGTGTTTTGTTTCATTCACACACGTTAAACACTCAAACCCTGCACATTTAGGCAGAGTTCTTCTCTCAAATTGAAAACTACTCCACCCAGTGATGTTATGTCATCTGTGTTTTTAAACTGCAGTCCATATACCTTCATTAGAATCATTTGGAGGATTTCAGACCTGGAATTGAAAATCCTTCCTATACAAGAGGTAAAAGAGAGTGGTTAACTTGAAAACAACAGATTCATAACATCACTAGGTGGACCAGAGGATAGGATAGGGAATAGGATTAAACATGTGGGAATGAAACAAAACACAACAGTCAATTTGTGTAATATAGGACCTTTAAAACATTATTTCCCAAAGACTGGGTCGTGACCCTCAGGTGGGTCATTTTTTGGGGGGGTTACCTTGTCACAATCTGCATGTAGGTCTGCAATATACATAGACATACATCTCTGCACACCCTCGCCCCTCACTTTTTCAGCAGCACCGCCTTTCCTAACCAATTTTCTGTGAGAAACACTGATTACTTTTTTTTTCCTTGTTTAAAACTTGAGTACTGTATTTTTCAGTCTATAAGGCGCACTTAAAATCCCTTAATTTTGTGAAAAATCAATAGTGCATTTTATAATCTGGTGCACTTTATAATCCAGTGTGCCTTATGGATTCATTCTGGTTGTGCTTACTGACCTCAAACCAATTTTCACATATATTCACCTGAGTCGTGTTCTTTAGTCTGTGAGAAGCTGAACCACATCAGCAAGCTGTTTTTTTTAATCGCTTATAGTTTATGCAAATTAGCCATGTGGTTTTAAGTTTCGTTTTTTGTAAAATGTCAACAAATGTGCGCGAAGCTGCATTAAACACATTATTACTCAATGTATATTTGAGTCCTCGAATAATAATGTCTTTAGACTTGGGTCGCGAAGATTTTTTAAATATGGGTCCACAGAAAAAAAGTTTGGGAAATACTGCTTTAAATTGTAAGTGTATGTTTATTATCTGCATTTAAAAACATTTCCCATCACACCTTAAGACTGAATTTCTTAGAGCTGTTGCATAATGACCAAAATGACCTGTTGTCTTTTCCTCGTACCCTGTAGTTGACCCAGAAGGAGTCTCTGGTCACTCTGCTGGACAATCGCACATGGTGTAAACAGGGCATCGCAGAGGAGTTCGACTACTTGGGAAACGCCCAGGCCTGGCAGCACCCACAGGTCAACGTCTTCGTCACCCTCGTCATATTCATCGTCATGAAGGTAAAACTCCTGTGTGTGTGTGTGTGTCCAAAATGTCCCAGTGTGTGAGATGTGGATTTTATGTAGATTGTCACTGTAAAAAGGTCAGAAAAGTGAATTAAAGATGAATAATTTAGAGATACATAAAACTGTATGTAGTTTGCGGTTTTATTTTTTGATATTTTATTAATATTTGAAGTTTTTAAAGGTGCATTTTTATTTAATGTTTCTGTTGAGCTGTCCACCACTTAACCAAGGAGGTAATTTAGCCTTGCCTAGAATGTTTCACAGTATGGCATTAAATGAGTCTATTTTACATTTATTCAAATACATGTTTTCAATGCAATTTTTTTTTTTTTTTTAAACATGTATTATTTCTGTTGGCAGTGTCACCTCTCCACAGATTTGACCTGTAACGTAGCTCTGTGGCTTCACTTGCTTGCAGTTTATTGCAATACTGTGGAACATTATAGGCAAAGCAGTAACATCTCCATGGAGACGAGCAGGTGACGTGCCCTGTATAGGAGAAGGTATTTAATTCACCTTTAAGTTGGAGCCAACTTCACATAGACTAGAGACTTAGACTTTGGTAATGGGCTCATTTTTCAGCTTTTCCACTTAAAGTTTTGAACACATTTTTCCTCTGTCATGGTTTGTTTTTTGCTTATTTCCACCTGCAGTCCCTGTAAACTTGATTTGAGGACTATTTTGGCTAAGATTTATGTTTAGGTGTGTAGCAAAGTTAAAGGTGTGCTATATAACTTTTTGGTTGGGGTTCCTGGAGATGTCATTGCTCTGTCTGGAATGTTCCACAGTATGACATTAAACAGCTCTACAGTACATTTATTCAATTACAGGTGGTTTTATAGCTCAAAAATATAGACCTTCTGACTGTGAGCGGGGTCGCCTTTCCACTGATCTGACCTGTAACTTGGTCTGGTTTGGTCTTAATGAAGATAGAAAGGTTTAATGCCATACTGTGAAACATTCTAGACAAACCAATAACACCTGCATGGAGAAAAGTGTTTGATGGGGCACCCACCAGAAAAGTTAAAGGTGAATTAAAAATGAATAATTTAGAGTTACAATTTCTTGCTACTGCTTTTTACAATATAAAGGAATGACTTTTTAGCAGTTTTATGTTTTGATATTTTATTAATATTTGAATTTTTTCTACAAAAGGTGCACTTTTTATTGCGACTTTTCTGTTGAGCTGTGAAGATAAATAGGTGACGGGCCCTGTATGGGAGAAGTTACGTAATTTGCCTTTAAATTTGAGCCAAATAAACATAAAGTGGTAATGGGTTCATTTTTCAGCTTTTCCAATCAAAGTTTCGAATACATTTTTCCTCTGTTGTAGTTTGTGTTTTTGCTTATTTCCACCTGCAGTCCCTCTAAATTTTTGATTAATTTGTGGAACATTTTGGTTAAGATTTCTGTTTATGTGTATAGCAAAGTTAAAGGTACACTTTGTAACTTTTTGGTTGTGGGTCCATCACGTGCTTGTTTCTATGGAGATTTATTAATATTTGAATTTTTTCTTCAAAAGATGTACTTTTGTTTGCAACTTTTCTGTTGAGCTGTGGAGACAGACAAGTGCCGTGCCCTGTATGGGAGAAGTTACGTAATTTGCCTTTAAGTCTGAGCCAAATACACATAGAGTAGAGACTTAGACTTTGGTAATGGGTTCATTTTTCAGCTTTTCCAATCAAAGTTTCAAACACATTTTTCCTCTGTTTTAGTTTTAGTTTTTTGCTTATTTTCACCTGCAGTCCCTGTAAACTTTTGATTAATTTGTGGACCACTTTGGCTAAGATTTGTGTTTAGGTGTGTAGCAAAGTTAAGTACTATGAAACTGAAAGTTGACTGGAATTATTTAAAACTGCAGAAATATTGTCCAGTATTGATTATGTTCTCTCAGAAGCTTTATCAATATGCTATTTCTCAAAGTAAGTTATGTCAGTGGGAACAGGCTTTACATTTCAGGAGCCAAGATAAACTCCAGCTTGTCGTCTCTGTTTAAATTACAGTCTGGTTTTATGTGTCTCTTATTCTCTTTGACAGCTTTGTTCAAATGCCAAATTGAAATGCACTTTACGTAAATGGCACAAGCATCCTTGCATAAACAGGAAGTCTTCCCCTTAAAGGTGCATTGTGTAACTTTTTGGTTTGGGGTCTGTCACCTGCTTGTTTCTATGGATATGTCATTGCTCTGCCTGGAATGTTCCACAGTATGGCATTAAACAGCTCTACCTTACATTTATTTGATTACAAGTGCTTTTATGGCTCAAAAATACCAAGAAAAACAGACATTCTGACTATGAGCAGAGTCATCTCTCCACAGATCTGACCTGTAACATGGTCTTGTTTGGTTTCCATGATTCCATTTAATATTAGACTGAAACATTCCAAGACAAAACAATAAAATTTCCGTGGAGAAAAGCATTTGAGGGACCTGCCACCAGAAAAGTTACACAATGCAACTTTAAAGAAACTGTAGAAGAGTTAAAGGAGTTATTGTGGGATGAATAAAAATAATGTTTTATACAATACAAAACTCAAGCTCAAATGGAGGAAATGTGTAAAAAAAAAAAATCTTTATTTAGGCCAGGGACTCTATTGTCTATTTTGTTTGTGTATCCAAAGGGTGAAAGTTTGAAAATTTTAAAATTTTGAGCTTGGTTCGTGTACTTGTGCTCTTCTAATTGATATCTTAAAGGTGCACTGTGTAACATTTCTAGTGAAGAGTTCGCCATGGAAATATTATTGCTTTGTCTAGAATGTTCCATAGTATAGATCAAACCGATCTATCACGAGCAGGTTACAGCACTGCACTACATTACAATTCAGATCTGTGGAAAGTCGCCCCTATTCACAGAAGGAATTATTGTATTTTTGAGCAATAGAAACACCCGTAATGAATAAAAGCTAAATGGAAATGTTTAATGTCATATCATGGAACATTCCAGGAAAAGCAGTAACCTCTATGGAGATGTTATTGCACCTTTAAATTATAATATTTTCCATTCTCTGCCTACACACAGTCATAACCAATGAATCTTCTTTGATGAATGGTGCACCCAGGGAACATGTAGTAAAAATTGGAATGTAATATTCAATTCTATATAATTTTATAAATTTGCACTGTGTAATTTTCACCTGCTTGTCTCCATGGAAATGTTATTGCCTTACGAATCTGACTTGTAAGTAACTACAACACTATCGTATCTGTTGAAGATTGATATATTTAATGCCATTCTCTGCAACATTCTAGGTTAAGCAAAATCATCTCCATGGAGACAAGTGTTGGATTCCCCACCAGAAAAGTTGCATCTTATAATTTTGAAATCAAAGTTTTATTGTGTGATTAAATAAGAGGATAGTTTCCCTGACTTATAGCCGTGAATGGTGACGGCAGCAGTCTTTTTACAGCTAAAATCACACCATTTGTTCAGAACACCTACTGCAGTGAAATGACAATCCAACACTCCAGAGGCTAAGTGTCACTGTTATGTAAGTGACGAGCAGCCTCCAGGCCTCCGTCTGGGCTGCCATCACGGACAAGAGCTCATTGTTGAGACAAAGTAGCAAGACATCTGAACGTTTTTGTTTTCCTGGAGTCATTCAAATGAATATTCATTGCTAAAATTGCAATGCCTTGTGCCATTTTTTGTTCAAAGTTGAGAAAGTAGTTAAAATCTGTTGGTTAAGAAACTTATAAAGACCATCAAAAGCCAGTCTTGTGCTACTACTGCTGGTACCTGATCTCATCTACATTTACTTGTATTACTCCACATTAAAATAAGATTAACATATTGTATACTTTGTTATTGTGTCCTCCAGCAAGACACTCTACCGTTCTTGCATGAACCCATAAACCTTTATTTGAACAATTTAGTGCAAAGCTGAAAACGTGACACTTCTCTCTTTGTATGTTTGTGGTGAATGGGGGGGGGTGGGTGAGATTTTTGGAACAATTTAATGATATAATTTAGGGTGGTAAAAAGAAAAAAGTTAAATCAGAGTTCATATTGGCCAAAAAATATCAGCAGAGCTTATCAGTCAATTTCTGTTGAGAACTGAAACACTAAATTATAACATAAGAAACTTAGCCATCGTGTTCCATTGTTTTTGTAATTTGAAATCAGCATTACAGTTATCAGTCAAAGCTACAGTAAATTTGACCTGAACATAACTCTTATCTAGAGAAATAGATAAAATCACACATAGTCTATAGTTGTGTCATAGTACCGGTCTTGGCCTCGAGACCGCTTTTTTGCAGTCTTGATCTTGTCTCGGACTCGAGCGCATTTGGTCTTGGTCTTGTCTCAGACTTGAGGTCTGACACTCGATGAGTGCAATTGTATTTCATTACGGCCAGTAAGTGTGCAGAGGCTGCTAAATATCAATGTAAAACCTGTAAGATAATGTAACTGTGAATGTTGTGAACTTGAAAAAACCCACTTGATTAACCCACAAGTTGTTTTCTGTAAAGTGCCAGTGGCAGCAGGATTAAAGAAGAGGTTCTCAAACTTTGGGTGAGGGTCCAAAAAAAGGGTGCAGAATGTTTCAGTCCAGTACAGTTTGCTTGACTTTTTAAGTTTAAATGAACATTAACCAGATCAAATGGAGATAGATTTATAAAAACATGTGTCAAAATAACTGTAAAATACAAATAAATATAGGATATGACAAAAGTCTTTATTTGGTCTCGATGGGCTGTGGTCTCGGTCTTGTCTCTGTCTTGACCTTTAAAATTCTTTGTCTTATCTCGGTCTCGACTCTCAGAGGCCATGGTCTTGTCCTGGTCTCGGGACCCTGAGGTGTCAGACTGGTCTTGGTCTCGATTACTGCAGTCTTGACTACAACACTAGTATAGTCATACATACTGTTACCCTGCAGCAATGTCTTTGATGTGAGATAATCCAAACCCATTCTAATTAAAACTATAGTATATCTTCTTTGTAATCTGAAACCCTGCGATAAGTACTGCATCTTTCTAAGCGCTGTTAATGTGAATA